GGTGAGTGAATCACTCAGCATCTCCCTCTGCTGCACCAGCTACTCCCCAGCTACAGACCAGGACATGGTCCTTTGGTTTTCTTCCCCTCTTTCTACCTTCTAACCACATACCTGCTTTTAAAATGTCATAGTACCATAACATGCCCTCACTCACTTATTCTTTTTCCTCTCTTCTCTACCCATTCCCTTCACTTTCCTCCTCCTTGCCTTCCTGTGCTCCTTCTACTCATCTTAGGTATATAATGCTTGTGCCTAGAAAGGTTATAATTTTAGAAGAAAAGTATGCAAATTGTGCATCTGTCCAAACAGACATGCATGAATCAAGTAAGTTTTGTATTTATTAGTATAAAATATCATACTTCAATAAAAATGCAAATAAATGAAGAAGAAAAAAGGCAAGAAAACAAGCATGCAGAAGGAGAGCAAGAGACTACAGTAAAGGGAAGCAGAGCAGAAAGAAAACAGGGAAGCATTGCCTTGCAAATATGCTTCTGAGAGGAATCCTGAAGTTTTCTGTTCTCTTTGTCAATGAGGTAAGTGGAGACAGATCTAACTGGAAAGTCTACCATTTCCTCACCTATTATTTTTTGTCAGCCAGAAATGTGTGAGGAATTTACTTAGTTGGCTGTGAGTTTTAAATCTCTTGGCTGAGACAACAGGAATCACAGTTGCACTGCAGATTGGATTATATGTACTCCTGATCACGATGTGAAACGCAATGCTGGAGAGTGATTATTGTCAGTAACTGCATTACTCTTTTGTGACAAAAAGCCTGAGGTCTGGAACTTTTCTGAGTTACATCGAGAACTTGACCACTCTGTGAGCAAGAGAAACAATTTTCTAGAGGTACTTTGTAATGCAGAAGGAGTCAGACACTCATATTTATCCTTAAATGGATAGTCCTTGATTGAAACAAGATTTAACTATGTCACCTTTAATAGGATTGGCAAATAGATTTTAAAAATATCATATACCATGCAACTATATGTATATTACTCTTGGCTAAGCTTGTTCATGATTTAAATCAAAATATTATGATAGATATTTTATGAGGTGACAACACAGATTGGTTTTCATTATACTGTATGCAAAGAGTGGGAAACAGAAGAATAATCCATCTTTATAATATATTCCTAATTTTAATCATTTATGCATAACAGACATGATTATTGAGCATCCTTCCCTCAAAAATTTCTCAGTGTATCCAACAGTATTAAAAACACACTCTACTAGTGGTAAGGCAAGCTGTGTGCTGTGGGGTGTTGTCTGAGCCCTTCCCAAACACATCCATGGATGATCAGAGCAAGGAGTCCATCACTGGGTCAGGAAATGCATACACATAAATATGCAGACCATGTCCTTTGGTCTTGCTGGCACTGCTGTCAGTCACGCCTGCTGCACAGCCTACAGAGATGCTTTTCCATGGCTTTCTAGACATGGAATTGGACAGGCACCTTTCTCCATACATCACAGAAAACAGCCCCTCAGGCAGCAGTTTTGCTGAGGCACACCCAGAGACAATTAGTCTGACTTCAGCTGGAGGGACGATGCAGAAGCACAACCACCTGTTAGCAAATCACAGAAACTCCCTGCAATAACAGGCTAAATACCTCACCCAGCTGGAAGCACATGAAAAAAAGAGGCAGGTTTTGTTTGGGGTTGGTTTGGTGCCGTTTTATTTTAAAGGGTCATAATGGGTGGTGGTGTGCAAGCATACATTGCCAGGGAGGCCCTGGTCCCATCCATTGGAATGGAGGCGAGAGTGTTGAGAAAAGCACATTGTTCTGCAGCAAATCTATTTGCCCATTCTCACTGAAATGAATAGCCCTTCATTCCAGTGGGAATTTGTGCCGTCACTTCAAATGTTATGCATATAAATTAATTTCACACTGCTTCAGGACTCTGTTTTCAAACTACCAAAAGGGTTAAGAACTGAGAAGGAAACACTTGCCAAACTCCCCGGTCTAAACTAAGCGTTAAGATTTTTTTTTTTTTTTTTTTTTCTCCTTGGGGGGAAGGGCAGGTGGGTGAACAATGGCCAGAAAGAGAGGAAAATGGGGACTGGAAATAAAGTACAGTCTTTTGTATTTCTACAGCTCAAAGATGCTTTTGAACAGGACAGCTGCCAACTATGGAAAAGAATCTTTTATGGAAAAAATATGCCAGTGACAATGGATTTACAAGAAGTGAGCCAGTGTGTCCTATATGCATTTATTCCATATTATGCAAGGTTAATTGTTTGGAGCATCATGCCTTCAGGAGTGTTCTAAGCATTGAGGAGCCAAATTTAGACTTGGTATCACGAAGTCAAATTTCCTTTTGTATCACAAACTCCCCAGGATGCCTGATTACAACAGTGCTGAATCTGGCACTGGAAGATGTTACCTACAGACTGGGCACAGTTCTGCTTAAATATGACAAATTGCATTTGCTTCCTTAGCCTGCATGAATTGATGTACATAATTTGGTGCTAGACCTTCAAATCATTTTATTTTAAACAGACTTAATGCTTTTTGTTGTTTTGGAATGAGAAGGAATAAAAATATAGCAGATGGCAATTTGAATATACTTGTCACAAACAGGATTTTAAGGTTGCACTCTCAATTACACTGTGGCCTCATTATATTCCCTTCCCATCCTAGGAATGCCTTAAACTTGGTGTAAATGTAATTATGAAATGTAATTTGTTTTGACTGCTAACTATAAAATCGGATTAATCTGTATAGGACTCGTCTATACAGGGAAATGGAATAATTACACCCAATTAAAACATCTACCTGGGATGTTACATCAGCAAAGCCACAGCAGTATAAATTATTCTGCTACAATTATGCTCATTAGTTTTCCCAGGTAAAAAGGCTCTTATCATAAATAAAAATGGGTCTCTAATGATTAATTCAGTATTATATTTATCCAGGTTTATTGGCATGGGGGAATACATTGGTTACCATGGAATCAAAAGGCAGAGTCTAACAGCAGAATAAAGGACCAGGCATCAAAAGTATCAGCAGAGTGAGAAACCGTCTTTTAAACAAAAAGGTTTGCCATATGAACGTGTCTGTGAACCTTTGGACAGCATCCTGTGTACCACCTGAGTGACTCCATGTCCCTACTGCAAATTGGGACAAGTACAGTTCTGCACTAGCTGAGGATTAGACTGGCAAAATTACACTGATTTCATAAAACTTTTCAGTTATGTTGGTTTTCACAGGAAAATGTTGAGGAATGTCCAACATCCATCATAGCCAGCAATTTGCTTGTAGTAACTCTTAGCCTGAATTCTGTTTTGTTTCACAGTTACAAATAAATGAGGCCAGTTAATTGGCAAGCAGTGCGGCTGAAGATGGAATGAACATACTATTGTGAGCATCTGATAAACTTAGCCAAACACATCTTTGAGAGAAACCACTCTTTATGTCCACTATCAAAAGAAATCAGCAAATATTTTGGGGAATATGTGGTACTTATGTGAAACCCACTTGCCACAGATGTTTCAACAGCAAGTATGGTATTTATAGCAATTCAGTTTTTTCCTTGACATTTTGCAAGGACAGTGCATCTGAAATGAAAGAGAACCCCTAGACTGTAAAGAGGCAAGACTCTCAAGCCACTTCTTTTAAGGTTCTGTATTTTGCTATTGAAAAATCTCAGCTGGGGATACATCCATTGACACCATACCCACAAAACGATCAGCGCCGAGATGCAGTAAAGAAACTGCATTTCTCATAAAAGTCACCTTTAATTTTGTGACCTGGTTACAGACTGCTCTAATTCTCAGACAGCCCTTCGTTGGACTCCAGGGACCTTGGGCAGAGGCACAAATTCCCTCTTCACCTCGAGCAGTCACTTAGCCCTAACAATACTCGGAGCATTGGTCTCCGCCCGTGGCTGGGGCACCATCGCTCCCTGCGGGGCAGCTCTGCCCAAGTCGGTGGCAGCGTTTTCCAGAGCAAAGCTATGTGCTGTGCTACAGCCAAGAATCCCTAAAGGCATTAGCGTGACAGAAACGCTGCCTGCTGCCCCCGGACCCCTGCCGGCCCCTCTGCGCGGGCTTCACAGGGCTGTATTTGGTATTCCTCGGTGAACTCTGCACAGGGCTCGCTCTGGTCCCAGATAGCTTCAGACCTTCGGATCCTGCCGTCTCTGACGGGCTCGGTACCGCCTCGGAGCCGTGCGCTCCACGCTCCCCGAGTGCCGCCCAGACGTCGGCCCAAGACCCGTCGGGAAGAGCTGCGGCAACGGAGCCCCTGCCCGGCCCCTCGCTGCCCCGCACGGGGCTCTGCCAAGGGCAGCGTAAGCGACGCGAGGACAACGCCGGGAAAGTTTATTGTTGGCAAAACCAGTGGGCACGTGCTGCACGCCAGCGGCCCCAGTGCGGGGCTCCAGCCCAGCGGCCAGCCGCCTCCGCCGAGGAGGAACCGGCCCTCCACGACCATCCGGGAGCGGCCCCGGCCGGATATCCCGGCTTTCGGGAATGCCCTCGCCCGGCATCTGGCAGAGAGAGTGCTGCGGCCGGTCCCCCGCCGCTCCCCGCCCCGGGCGAGCGCTACTAGCCGATCCCCAGCCCGTGGGGCAGTGGCCGCCCAGGCCACCCCGGCCCGGCGACGGGGACGGCAGGAGCCTAAGGGGCGGCGCGAGAGCGGGTCGCGAGTGCAGAGTCCGACCGGGCGGGCGCCCCCGACAGCGCTCGGGCGGTGGCGGAATGTACCAAAAGCCCCCCGGGGGAGGACGCCGTTACGCCCCCTCCCACCAGTCTCCCACGGCACCCTTGATACGGACGGGAAAGCCCCTCTCCCATGCGCAGGGCGCGTCTGCGAGTCCCCACAGTGCGGGGCGGGAAAGGTGGGGGCGAGGCGACCCGCCCCGGGGCGGGGGAGGGGTGGTGGGGGTCGCGGTAGAAGCGCCTGGCACACACGTCCCGCTTTCCCTGCTCCCCCCTCCCTGCGGTGGGTGGTGCGGTCCGCTCGGAGAGGGCGGGAGCGCCGCGCCCCGCCCCGCTCAGTGACACAGGCTCCGTGTGGGGAGGCGCCGGTGGCTCGGGCAGCGGGACCGGGTGGGACTGGCCGGGCGTCGTAGCGGCGGCGACTGCGAGCCGAGCCCGGAGAATGGCAGGGGCTGGAGTCGCTGCGGAGGCTGCTGCTGGTTTCTCTCCTTCGCCGCCTCCTCGCGCCCGCCGGGAACTTTTCCTAGCGACTGGTGGCGGTGCCTCCCCCCGGTGGTGGCGGCGGCGGCGGCTGCTGCGTTTGGCGGTGCCTCCCGGGCCGGGGCTGGGGCTCCTGGGGCTGGTTTTCTCTCGTTTCTGCTGCAGTAAGTGGAACTTTTCCCCTTGGCGGACGGGCGAGGGGGCGGGTGGAGGAAGAGGAGGAGAGAAACCCGAGCCCCGGCAGCGCCGGGGGACGCGGCCGAGTTGAGGGAAACTTTGTCTGGCGCCCGACGGCGGGGGCCGCCGGCCGCCCTGCGCCGGGGGAACCGGGCAGGACGTGGCTGGGATGGTGAAGGAGGGAGGTATGCGAGGCAGGTCCGAACCGGAGCCCACACCGCCAAGACCTATGGACTCTTTCCTCCGGGAACATCCGCTGGGACCGCAGTCGAGAGAGCGGGTGTCCCGGGAGGCCAAGTATCCCCGGCGGTTGGGCTGAGGTGGCAGCGGCCCGGGTGGGGCAATAGGGGAAGTTTATTCTCCTGCTGGGGCTTCCCCCGGCGGACGGCAGGTTATCCGCTGTAATTCCCGTCCTGAGCGGCGGGATTTCGCTTATTTGAGGGAATTCACGGGCGCTTCCCCCCCCCCCCCCCCCCCCCCTTATTTCCCATCCCGTAGGAAGGACAGAAGGGTCTTAGTGTTTTATCTGGGTGTGCCTGGGGGGAGGAATAGTACGCGCTTTGCCTCAGGAGGCGTGGGCTGGTGTCGTTGTTCCTCTCAATGAGGGTGAAACCCGTGCTGGTTTCGGTGTGGGGTCGCTCGCCGCTGCCGCTGAGGTGGGACCGTGTGCTTGCTCTACATCACCCGCATCCTGAGCAGCTGCTGCCGGGGACACTGCGGTGCGGGCCCGCCAGGCTTGGCGTGACCGCCCGCAGGAAAATGCCATCACCTACCCCCCCCCCCCCCCCCCCCCCCCCCGTTCATCTTCCTGTGGGGAACAAACAAGCAACGTAGCAGTTGGAAACTGAGCAGGAATTTATTTATTTATTTCTAATGTACTGCATGCGGTGTAGTGTTTTTTTTTACAGCAGTGGAAGATTAGAGGGGACAAAAGTAGACTTGGACAAGTGCAAATCGAAAACCCTCATCCTGCCGTTGTATTTATTCCCAATGCAAGGGAATAGTTGGCAAGGATATTTTATTATAGGAGACGCTGTGTCCCTTCTCTCTTTAATGAAGGAGGAAGAAGTTAGAGGAGGTAGTCTCTGGAGGTTCATGTGATAAAAATACCCAGGAACGAGCAAGCCGTGCCGCCGTAAAACACTTGTGTAGTATCTGAGAAATGCTTTCTCAGGGAGGGAGTTGAGGCGCTGTAGGATTGTGCTGGTGCATGTAGTAGTCTCCCCCCTCTGGCAATGATGTAGCTTTCAAAAAAGGTGATTGTTACTAAGTTTGTAAATATCGAGAAGGCAAACTTTTTGCACTAGCACTTTTCTCCCCTCCCTTTGTTCAGTGTTTTTTCTGCTTTTTTGCAATTAAAAAAGTGAAGTTACAGACTTGACATGACCTTGACAAGCTATTTTTACATCTAAATGTAAAGTTAATAGTAACAATGAAGCTAATAGCATCCGTGCCTAGTGTCATACAGCGACTCAACCATTTTAGTCTTGATAAGTGTAATTCGGGTTGTCAGTCTTCCCAGGTTCTTTTTTTTTGCATAAGTGATAACTTTTCAGAAGTTCAGCCAGAAGTGCAGAAGTGGCAATGTTGTGTTGAAATAATTCTGTTCTTTGAGCACAAAGTTTTGAAGGTAAAAGGGAAAACTTGAAAAACTGTTACAGACTTTTAGACTTGGAGGTAAGCAGCAGGGAAAGAGGTTTTTTTGTCAGTGTCTTAGGTTTTAGTTTTCTTTTCACCTTTAAATTTCCCACAGTTGTTTTCATTGTATTTGTAACTGTAACATGTGACTATGAAGGAAAAATATTAATACTGTGCTCTTAAATATGTTTTGAGCATGTTTACATGTTGATGGCACCCCAAACTATTTATTGCTTTTGGTTGCCTTTTGTCCTGCTACTCAGCTAATTCTGATAATGGTAGCAAAAGAAAGATTAGAAAACGCTGCCATAAATGATCCCAATCCTAGTAGAATAAAGTCGCTACAAAACCAAATAAATTTTTATCCAGTCATTTTGATTGACAGTTAGAAATTATTTATTTGAGCTATAATTCCTCAGAGAAATATTGCCAAAAACATATCAACACTGACACCAAAAAACTGAAGGGGGAAAGAGAAAATATATCAGGAAATCTGAAATAGCAGCTTTTCTGTTTTTGAGTAAATATAGACCTGCTTTAATAAATGCTGCTTTTTTTACGAAAGTAAGACTACTGGCTTCAGGTTGTGCATACAAGTACTCCTTCCACTTCCCTGTCAAACAGTGCACGATGCCACAAAGTGCCTACTGAACTTGCGCGATCAAAGTAGTGTAACCTTGAACTAGGGGACTTGTGTGGCATCTATAGAAGCATCATCATAGCCTTTAATCTGGAAAGTAACTTATTTTGCATTGCAGCAAATGCTTTTCAGCTGTGCTTATTGGAGTCATGTCCTGCAACATATACTGTAAATGAGGACTTGTGTGCTACTAAATAACAAATTCCTCATAATTCCTGTATCTCATTTGTTTGCACACGGTGAAAATTTTTTTGCAATTTTTTTTAAAAATGTAAGCTTGAATTAAAAATAAGCAGAACTGTAAAGTGAGGTGAATAGAAGGATGTTCAAGATGCATTTTTCAGATATTTTGTTGAAGAAATAATTTTTGTTTCTATTTAAATTGCTGGCTATGTTAAGTTTCTCAGTAAGGTTAGACAAAGAAGTATACATATGTCATCTAAGATCCCAATGAATTTTTTTTTCTTACAGGAGCCTGGAATGCAGATCTCCAGACTGGCAGTAGAGCTGGAAGGATTGGGTTATAAAGGTGTAGATAATACAAGAGTGCAGTGTACCATATAAAAAATAATTTAAAAAAATAAAATCCCCAAGTAATTATTGATGAGAACAATCTGGCTAGAAACTATTTTTACTATTTTTTCAGGTGCAGTCATGGTAAATTTGAATGTCAAGCAAAGCAGGTTGCCAACTTGGAAATGGGAAGGTGTAGTAGAGTTATCAGCAAGACAACAGAATGTGGTTTTTCCTCATTTTATGTTAATAGTTAAGAAATCTTTTATGTTTTGAAAATGGTATGGAAATGAATGCTTGTTTGAACAGGTGTTTGGTGAAGGAGTACAACAGCAGTGAAAGAAGGAATAGGAATGCTGTGGAAGGTGTTTGAAAAGTTGGAATGAAATAGTGGTGAACCATGTAGTAGGTTGGGCAGTGTATGAAGCTGCTGTGTGAAGAAACAGAGCAGCTGCACTGGTAAGAACAACAGATAGGAGAGTTTAAATCTGGATTGTTTGATAATTAACAAAAAAATTTTTTAATGTTGCCAGAAGTTTGTCCAGACTGTACTTGAGGATAACTCATTAGAATATGAGGTGTGATCTTTTGAAAGAATTCTTAGCTGTTTCATTGTGGTACATCTGCTATTTTTCCATGTTACTGTTACACTGTGATGCTTTTGGTGTGCAAGAAGTCCCATTTACATATAGAAGTGAAGTACAATGTTATTTGAGTTAGGATCTGAACACCTGGAGTATTATAAAAGAATTGTGATGGTTATTTAGCCACTTATGCTACATAACAGTTGACCAGTTACTTGATTTAAACAGTGTTTCTCTCTTGCCTTCTTAAGCAACTTAATTTTATGTCATGGGATATGCATTCTCTTTGATAGTGGAAACAAAAGAAGCTCTAGCAGGATTTACTTTTTGTGAGAGAGAGAGTCAAGTATCCTGTTTAAAAATGTGGTCAAATCTAGCTTGTTTTCTTTCTGATCTCTTTTATGTAGTATTGCTGACAGGGTGATATTGAGAAACAAAGGACTGTTCTGTAGGAGGAGAAGCAAAAATATGTAAACTTTATAGACTACTTGTACCAGTTGATTACCCTTCAGGTGCTGGTAATAGAGCTTTTAAGGTAGGCACAATGTGATGTAGATTGCATCTGATGTGAGGAGGGAAAATGAGTTGGGAGTGTGTTGCTTCAGAAAGCAGTGTCTGGGGCTAGTGAGTGGAGCATTTGTGAAGCTCAAAGAAAAAATAAGTTGGAAACTCTAGAATCAAAAGTCTGAATTGTAATTTGAAAAAACAAATCCAGAGTGAATGAAATTAAGAGATGAGTAAAACTTTCTACACAGAAGATAATCTTGCTAAGTGCAAGCTGCCTGCAATGCTATTGGTAAAAGTCTTTTTTTAGTGTTGGTTATGTGTTGAAGAGCAATAAACTTTGCATCTGCTGTTACACCAACCTGTGGCTGTGGAGGTGGCTGCTGTGTGGCTGAATTCAGCTTTGTCCAAACAGCTCTTTATCAGAAGGTGCGGTTGCAGACTGCTCGGGTATGTGTGCCAGCAAGTGAGAGTGCTGAGATTGTGTGTGTTGTCTGCTTGCTCTGGAGCCGCTGTGCACTGCCACTTAAAGGTGGCTCTGTGATGACGGATTACTTTGCTGTTTGTGTTTGTACCTTAAGCTTGTTTCCAGCTTGGAATGAATGTGTTGTATTGGATGAGAATTATTGGAACTTTGCTTGGTTGGTTTTTTTACCCTGATGACTTCTTTTTTGATTGGTATGTGGATTGTTATGCAGAAGTTTCTGTCAGGAATTTTCTAAGGCAGCTGATAGTTGGAAGTAAGTGACCAGATTTGCTAAGTGAAAAATAGGTATAGGTGCAATTATTTAATTATTATTACTTTGTTATGCCACATGTTCTTGGATTTAGTGGTTGTTAGAGGTGGAGGTATATATGGTCTTTAAAGGTGCCTTGAACCAAAACACTTTTGTGTTTCTATGGTTTGTTTTTGGTAGGGTTAGCCTGTCTAAAACAAGATTCTTTGAGCAGTACTTATTTGGAGGGTAGTTGCATTCCATGCCTCAGAGTTCATAGGTGTCTGAAATGCAGTAATGTATTTTTGAGAGGTTGGAGATGATGAATTTTTGATTAGGCATTAAATAGGTTGATCAAGCTTTCTTGTTAAAGGGATCATTAGTATTATTGT